AAAGAGTGTGATTGTATGCCTGATATATTTGTGTAGGTCTTTTTTCCCTAAATCATTGAAAAACAATGTTTTTAGAAATACTTTTCCATCTGATTTCTTATACATTATGTTCTCTGTTGCTACCAATTTACTGTTCAGCCTATTTCTAGTTAGTATGATCATATGTTTCATGTTAGTAGTGCTTTGAACCAGTAATTGTCTATGAAGAGAGTCTGGAAGGTTAATAATGTTGTGACCACAGCTGAAGCTTATATATACCTCTTTTCATCTTCCCTGCCTAGATGAATATTTAATTTGCAAAAGAAATATTCGAAGAGACATTTTTCCTGTTTCCAGTTTTCCTATTAGAAAATAACAGCCTGCTCTTCTGGCACATCCTTTTTACTCACTGGCTTACTTTCAGGAAAGCCAGGAAAAAAAATGCATGCTTGAGTGTAGTAATGCTAATGCATATTACATCAGCTGATACAGGGGACTGTACAGCATTAAGTATTTCACATCAAAGGTTAGTTTAATAAGGAACTGCAGTACCTTAAAATTTCAGTGTTTCCTTTCTTTATGTAGGAAAACATTGGCTTGACTTCAATAGGTACTAAGACAAAGTAAATGTTTTACCTGTTACCAGAAGCCAAAGTGTCCCTTTGGTTAAATTTTACTATTTAACACTTATTTAAAAAAAACCAAAAACACTAAAAATTGCAGCAGCTCTGGAAACAAAGGTGTGGTTGGCAAGTGGCTCTGGCATCTGCCTGTTCTTGGAGTGTATCCAGGCCACAGATAGATCCCATCACATTAAAGACAACAAATGTTTTTCATTAAGAATAATATTTAGCAAGTATTCTTTACAACTTTGTTCAGACAGATAGTTTTCTGTGTGTTTAATTGGATGACACAAAGGAAAAAGCCAAGACTGGATGATTAAACTCACAGTTGGGGCAGCTGAAGCTAGGTGCTCTTTCAAATTTAATAACTCAAATAATTTTCGTTGGATAGCTTCAGCAAAGTTCAGATGTACCATGTTGGTTTGAAGGTTTGAAATTGTTTAAGAAGTGGTAAAACTATTATTTCATTTTCTGGCACTTAAAAGAGAACAAAATAAAAAACTCGATTTGCAAAACACTGGGTGAAGGAATGTTTGTTTTCTTCTTACCTACCAACGTAGCATTCCCGTGATGTGTGGGAGACCTGGGCTTGGGGTTGGTTTTTGGTTTTGTTTTGGGGTTTTTTTCCCCTTGTTCTGTCAGCTTTCTCACCATTTAAAGAATTCCCTTGTCACTGGGTTATAGGATAAACCAGGGTGAGCTACAGTGTGTCACCTGTTGCCACTTCTTTGCTTGTGTATTGTCATTGAACAACCAGGGCTTTCATCACTAGGATAGGTGTCTCAGTTACCTTCATATGCGCACGCATGTGCTCTTGCTCTCAGTTTTTCTGTGCCTCCATGCTTCCTTTCTCTCTCTCTCACACACACAACGCAGTACCACTGCTGCCATCTCTTCTTTCCCTGTGTTCTGTGAATAAAGCCATTTGTCTACCTACAAATGATGAAATAATTTAAGTTTTAAAAACATTGAATTCAGTCTGGAGGAAATACTTTTTCATTTTGATGTGTACATTCAAAAATGTTTCCTTTGGATTGATTTGACTAGAAGTTTTACTGACTGCTTGGTTTGGCCACCAAATAGGAGGAAGTCAACAGCTGGCAGCTTTGCTAAAGAGTTTTTTAACAAGATTAATCTCTGCTTGTAGATTTCTGTCCTGTCTAAATTATGGATGCTCTTGGAGATGTCAGAACATGTGAAACATCAGTTATAAAGCTGAGGTACTTTGACGTTTCAAACATAGCACACTACCCCATCTGTAAAGGAAATCCTCATTGATTATAATAGCGAGCAAGCCATTGGAACGGGTTCAGAGGGAAGCTGAAGTACAAGATTAGTGATGATCAGTAATGACCACCACCAAATAATTGGAGAAAAGGAACCTGACTTGTGGATTTGAAGTGAAGAACAAACTCTATTTAAATGGAAGGAATGCAGTGTACTGACTTATGTATAGGAGCAGCAGTTTTGCAGCCATAAACCTACTCAGAAATGGAACAGTAATTCTTTCTTGTAGCTGTTTACAGTGATGCAGAAACCAGGTTTAGTAAAGGAAGTTCTGTAGTTCTAATGATACATATGTGTGTTCAGGTAACAGGTTTTGAGTTATCGTCACAGCACATGAAGTCCATGAACATTCATGTCACATTAATTGTGCTTACATGGAAAAAAGTCATCTGATATTCTGTGAATGCAAACTTTTTACTCAAAATGGTAAACTACCAACAGACCAAATAGAGCAAGTTTTTACAGTGTTTTCAAGCCCTTAGTTGCTCTGTAGAAAAAACAATTAAAATAGGGCAAATTGATCAAGTAGAAATAATTCTTTCTAAGCTGTGAGTGTCACAAAAAAAAAGGTTCACATTCATTTTTCTTCTTTAATATCAGGATTTATTTCTGGGACATAAAGACTTATATAAATTCTACAGAGAAGGGAGTAGATGCCAAGAAAAGGTAAAAGCAGAAATTTAGACTAGAAGTGAAGACAAGTCAAGGTACAATGTAGTTGAAGGTTGTGGTCATAAAGTGGGGGTACAGAATGTTCTTTCTCTGAAAGGAGTTGAAACCCTAGGAAATGATTTGAGCTCTGTGGTTTGCAGCATTCTGAGCATTCAGAGCACAGCTCTGTGCTGGGAACCTATGAGAGTAGCAGAGGCTTAGAGAGTGCTTGAATAAGGGCTGTGATCCATCTGGGAATGGAGAAGAGCCTCAGGAGAGGGAAAGGAGAAAACATCCTTTGGAGGAGAGGAGCCAGCATGCTCAACCAATGCGAGAAAGAAGAGAACCATGAGCTAGCAGGAGTACATTTAGCCATCACCAGAAAGGTTTCCTATGATTTGGAGAGATCTGGCATAGCTCATGCATATCTCTCTTTGGACAGTGCAATGCTGACTGTGGCCATGAAGTTAATGACAAGTAAGGGCTTTGCACATCATGATGCCCCCTTTTCTCTTATGTAATACAAAATATACTGGAAGGTACTACGAGAATGAAATGTGGAAGGATATAGACACCTTAGCCCACTTAGTAAATCTTCATCTAGCTTTTGTGGTGCATCAAAAAGGACCACAAGTGTGCAGTTGAAGTTACAAGCGATTATTTAGCTAGTTAAAATGACAGTGCTTCCTCAGCTAACAGTCTGTCTACATTATGCATGGAAAAAAATGAAGGCAACACTGAAGAGAAACAGAACATGTATTAGTGTAGAGGTAAGAATAGGATGGACTTACAAGTTATCTGTATCGTATCCAATTTGCACATGTGCATAAGATCATTTGAATCATTTAAAGTCACATGAAATTGTAAGGATGCAAACTTCTTCCTTTCATAGTTTGAATTCTGTTTCTCTAAGGCTCAAAAGTACAAGTATATCAAAAATGCAAAACAGACCATCCTCTTTCACATATTCCCCAAAAGAAAAGGCAAGAGACATAAATGTTTTGCAGCAGGCATGGCACAGCAAAAAATCTGACTTGGAAGTCAGATACAGCAGAAAAACACTAATTGGCCTTACATGCATGCTTCTTTTATGCAGAGGGCAGTTTTTCAGAATTTCACAGCTGTGTTTGGAATGGCAAATTTAAGAAGAACGGCAAATAGAAATTTTTGCTGAAAGTTGAGAGAACCTACCAAATAGAAAAGAGAACAGACCCTTTCCCACCAAAACAAACACCACTAAGTTATTATTATAAACAGGTATTTTTTTGTTACTTTTGTGTTAGCCATTGTAGACATGTCTATTGTATTTAGTAATTAAGCTAAGAGAGGGGAGAAAATAAAACAAATAGGAAACTGATGCGCAGAATTCTTGTTTCCATTGGTTCTAATCTACCGCTTTATATAAATGGACTCTGCAGCATTACATCTGCAGGATGACAATAAGCAGAGCCTTAGGCCTGCCTTCTGGTTTATGCCATAATTATTGTGCAAATTGAACTATGGATTGTATGTGTGAGATGGAGACAATTTAAAAAGAAATAACTGAAGAAAAGTACTTGATGGGCAAAAGACAATATATGCAAAAGGGATGTCATTCTTCACTGAAAAAATGGCTCCTTGCATGAAACAAGCATCTTGCTATTTTTCATAGAGCAACACAAGTTCATGAAATATACTCAGATTTACATAATTCCTCTCCATTGTGAATGCAGCCATTAATCCTATCCTGCTGACTTACTTTTCTGGAAGGTGGCTCAGCTGAAGCAAATACTAGACCAACAAGCAAATAATTTCAAGGAGTCACTGAAGAAACATAATCTACAGTCCAACAAAGAAAAAGAGAAGCTGTTGCAGGATCTTCAAAACATCATTAAGGAAAACCAGAATGTTAAACTGCAGCTGGAGGCATCACATCAAAAAGTCTTAAAAACATTGGAGAAAAGGAAAAATCAGGAACTCAAGGTCAGTTTACGACATACTAGTGTAAAAAAAAAATCATATTTGTGGAATAAACCATATTAGCTAGAGCTGATTATCAAAATTCAGTTATCTCTAGGTATCTTAATGATGGGTTGCCATTGTTGCACATAATGAATTATTCTGTGGTTTTGAAACCTCATAATCTTCAGGTTGGGTTGTTTGGGTTTTTTTATAATTTTAACATTTCAACTTGGACCACAGTATGAATGAAATAGTTTCATAAAATAATATAGCCTACCCTCTACACATAGGCTGCAATGAGTACAAGCTCCTCTAGCTGTGCTCTTCTTCAGATTACAAGGGAATTCCTAAGTGTATTATTAACAGGACTCAGTTTTATTATTTTTCATCCATTATTAATTTATACTTAAATACTTTTTAAAGAATTGTAATAGACATGTATAATGATGTGTATTGCCTTACATACCATCAAGAAATCAATTCTGTAAGTGGATAACCAAAGCTTTTAAAGGTTCAAGTGGATTTATTTCAGTGACAAAATGTTAGTGCAATATGTTAAGGTTCTAAAGAATGTTGCTGTTTGAGAAAAAAAACATCAAATTAAAAAATGTACGTGTGATTGTGACCTGGAATTCAGATGTCCCTGTTGATATCACACACCTTACAGAAAATCTCCTTATAAAAACCTATGTAGTAAAACCACCCTAAGTAGAATTTAATATCTTGTTTATATATTCAGAATAAAATCCCAGCTTTAACAAAACCAAGCGGCAGGCAGTAAGCTGGTAAAAATGAAACTAAGGATAGGAGTTTGCTTTCAGAGCCACTACGGAGCAATTGCTCCGTCATTTACAGCGTATCAGCAGCACTTCTAACAGTGGAAGTTTTACCCAAGAGGCCTTTATCTGACATACTGTGATAAGTAATGACATAGAGGTCAGATCTGAGAGGCTTTGTATGTTGAATAATAAAACATCTTTCTAATGTCAAATAATGCAAAGATGTCAGTGTTGTTATTTCATGATGTATAACAAATTTAATAGACGATATCTTGATAATTTCTCTTGTACCTATCAAGTTTTATTTTTTAACCTCAGCTCATTTTTATTCTTGTGTTGATGAAGTGTCAAGTAAAGTGGTGATGAAAATGAAAGTTCTACAATGAAAGACTAGATTCATCCTGTCATTACAAGGAAAACAACAAGGTGATAAATAGCCTCCAACTACTTTGTTTTTTTTGGGGGGGGGACTTTTGCTTACAGGAGGCAGAAGAACGTTTGAAAAAGGAATTTAATGAGACTTTCAAGATCCAACATCAGTCTCATAGGCTGGAAATACAAACCTTGGAAGAGAAAGCAAAGAAAGAATTACGTGATGAACTTGACCAGATACAGAAGCAGCAAACCCTGTTGCTAGGTATAATGTCTCATGTCATGAACTGCTCCTACTGCTTGATTATATGCTGAGAAGCACTGACTTTCCTCCCATTCATTTTCTTTCCCATCTTCTGGGAACTCAGGTCTTTATGAATCTTCTTTTCCATACCCTACAATTTCAGCAATACAGATTTAGTATTCTTTGTTAACCTAGCTCTCAGCAGTCAGCAGCAGAATGTTGCTGGGAGAGTAGTCTGGTGTACAACATTCAAGTATGCATTATCAGGCATATTAAATTGGAATACTGTAGTTAGTGTATACAACTTTCCTCTTTTTTTTTTTCTGTGATGTGAAGAATTATTATATGTGGTTCAAGTCTGTTCTGTTGAGTTTAGCAGTGGAGATCGGTTACTGAATACGTATTGTTTAGTCAGTTTAGAAAGTTCCCTGAACTGTTCAGAACTTAACAGAACACTGCATTAGGAGGACCTGTAATATCTCTGGGTTTGAACTCAGGTTATTAAAGTCCATCTATAAAAGTTTTTTTAATTAAAAATAATTTGAAAGTACTTTAAGTACAAACTGGATTATCTTCTTGTTTTTTTTTTTTTTCAGTAATTCAAATTTGCTAGAAAGATTTGTTGCTCTCTAAAGTTTATATGTTCAACAGATAACAAGAAAATTTGTTATGAAAAGAAAAATTGTATGGGGACAATAGAGAGAGAGAAAAACTTCTTTCTCCTTGTACTTGATCCATCCTGGAACTTGTATGCAATATACACAAAAGTTGCGGTATATGACAGATCTCCTTACCTGAATGTTGTACTTCTCTAACACAACCAGAGCTCTCCGCACCCTGCCCTGTGGCGCTCTATAAAACACCAGCGGACTTAACAGGGAGCTCAGGGGTGCTCCAATAAAGTTCAAGGTTAGAAGAAGCAATTATAGTGATTTCGTTTGCAAAACAACTGCCGCAGAATTACCTCTCTGATTCCGATGTTGAATCATTGCTATTGTAGCTTCTATCTTCTTACTATTGCTCAATTGAGTTACTTCTTTAGTAATAGGAAGCCATTATACTTCAAGGTGAAGGAGTTGAGGAACAAAGCAAAATGTAATGTGTTAATATTTTCATCTACGTTGTCTGTATCTACCTTCCCCATCCAGCAGGCCTCTGACTGCCTTAATGATTGTCTGTCTAATCGTTACTAGGATCTCTAAGGATGGAACTCTCTGAGCAACAGACATTGTGCACTAATCTCAAGAAACAAACAGAAGAACTCCAAATGGAGCTGAGGAGTGTGAAGACACTGAAGAAGCAACAGGCAAGAATCCAGTTCCTACTTCATTGCCATAATGTGTTTTGTGAAAGCAATATTACCAAATTTCTCTCTTCAGAGATAATAAAAGTGTACAGAAATGGAAAGGGTTTCCTTCCCTTGTGTCCCACTTTAAAATGTTAGCAGTGTTTATAATCTTTTCCCTATGGGCAGGGTTTTTTTCCATTTAAAAATCAGAATCTGCAACACAAGTAAATGAATGAATGTTACAATAAAATAGATTTTTATGGAGATATAAAATGTGTTCAGGAAGTTTTGTTCACAGATTTTGTCTTGCACATAGAATTGCAGATAAAATTGAAAAATCCGTTCACAAAAATTCAACACACACAATTCCAGTGAGATCTTCAGGTTAAATAATAAGAGGCTGTGAATAACCAAATTTGGCCTTTTTCTTAGGAAGGAAGTAGCCAGAGCCAGATCAGATCTCTTCATGATGAACTGGAAAAATGTCAGAGTGAAATTTCCGAACTCAAGAAAGAGAATTTACTTTTGAAGGACACAATGGAGCTACTCACTGCTGAGTTGGAGTCGCAGAAGCAAGAAGCTGCACAGCTTCAGGATAGGGAGAAACAGCACAGGTTTGCCTTAAATTAACACTTCACAATGCTATCTAGAGGCAATAATAATGCCAGCATCAGAGGTGTTCTAAATGTGATGAGTGTCAGAATCTCTCCTTTCTAAAGTACTAATTCTAGAGGTTAGGAGTTTTGTAAAAGCAGTAGTTCATTTCACATTTCTCTCCAGCTATAATAAAAGCATTTGAACTAATCATTCCTTATATGTCACAGAGAAGTATGTCCAGTGTAGCCCCACAGGAGTTACCTGAGAAAAATCTGTGTAACATCAGTCTTTGAAAGTCACTGGAAGCTATCAACAAATCCCAAACTCACACAAGAGCTATAAAAAAATTGTAGAAGTCTCTGAGAATAAATATCAGGTTTTTATACTTACTCTCTGTAGTTGAAACCAATGGGTTGTTAACTCTATGGGGACACTTGAGAATGCCATATGCACTCTGTAAGACTGCATTGGCTGTAACAGCCAGCTTTGCAGTGGGGGAGTAAGGGCAGTGATAGCAGACGCTAACAGTGTGTCTGGGCTGATGGAAGTCTGGAGCTGTAATATGCTGTCAGGGCACAGGAAATGCAAACTGATATGTAGTCTTGGCTGTCTTTGTAGAAGGTGGACCACATCCTCTTATTGTAGCCACAGGCTTGGAGCACGTGTTGCATTGCAGTAATAGCAATCTTCCCGTTTGTGTACAGAAAAAGTGCAGGACCTACCTTTTACATGGGAGATAAGACTGGGGTTCGCTGTCCAGTGCGTTTGTATGGCTGTTGAATCCTTTGAAATTTCTGGATGATCATACTTAATGTATTCTCTTTGCAGGGAGATTGAGAGATCTGGTGCATGGGTACCTTTCAATTAATTTCTGCAGTGGTGTAGAATGTATACCCCTAACTACTCAAGCTGTATATATAAAAGGATATACCCATAAAGGAATCTTTAAAATTATGTCCTATATAGAGAAAAGCACTCAAGGGTTAGAGTGTCTCTCAGCTGACTGTCAGAGTGGCCAGAGTAATTCCATTGCTGCCTACCAGCCAGTAGATACTTAAAGAATGAGAAAGAAACTTTTTTTTTTCCTTTGCACTCTTTGGTGAGGTACTTAGAAGTGACTTTCATTTCAAGCTTTTGAAGCAAGATCAACGGAAAGAATTGCAAACCAGAGAGTTTCATCAATGACCTCCAGCTACCTTGAAGGAATTTAGAGCCTGTGTTCATGAAGGGAAGAATTATTCACATGTCAGTGATGAGGTCTAAAAGGCCTTAAATGCTAAAGCTGCTGGGCTGGAGGATAATCTTTACAGGGGATAAATGGTGTAGGTCTCCTACAGTAAGCATTTGAGAAGGAAGCATTAATGGAAATTAGCTAAGGAGAAATCCTTCATGTAACAGGAGGTAGAACCAAAGAGCTCAAATGGTCCAAGACACCTGATACAGTCTGCTCTGAAATTAACCCATGGAAGATTTGGAACATTAACTTGCAGCTCTTGTTTTGCTTTTGCAGGACCAATAATTTGTGTAGGGGAATAGTTAAATTGGTGAGTGCATATAAATAACAGGTTTTTTACTGTTACTTCAACAACAGTGACATTGTCTTATGCTATATAGTTGTTTCTGATTTGAAAGCTGATAGTGGCTTGTTATTTGCATGTGCCAAATTTTTATAACCAATTATTTAAAATTACTATTCCTACTGTTGCCAAGTAAGTGAAACCAGTAATCTGCTTGAAGAACTTGTTCTCATTTCCATTCTCTTGAATTGTGTGAATTCCACATCCAGTACAGAAACCTTTTGCAAGGATTAGGATGGGAGCAGACAAGGGGTTCTTTATGGGAAGAGAGGACAAGTCCCAAAATGGCTATTCTGAAGGAGAGCTTTTATTCTGTGTGTGAAGATCCATTTCAGGGATCCTTCTCCCATTTTTACTCTTATTCTTCTGCTTCTTATTTTGTGCCAAGTGTCAAATCAATCACTCCCATGGCTGTGCTCTAATTTCAAGGGCAGAAACCTTTCATGGCCCTTTTGGCCTTTCCTGAAGCATTTCAGAAACAAGTGAAAGGGGCTTAGAAATACATTAAAAAGGAAAAAGAAAAAGAAAAAAAAAAGGAGGTAAACCAAATATCTTTTGTGAAAATTACAATCATTAATCTGCTAAGTTTGATATCTCTATTTTAATTTGTAAACAACAGAACATAGTCTCTGTATTGACTTAATGAAAAAGTTTCTCCAGGGTTCAAAACATTAGCAAACAAAAGGCAACAACCTAACAATGATTCTTCAATAGATGTCTGTTGATTTGGGGGTTGGTATCAGAAAGAATCTTATGGCTAGACTTGAAAAAATGTTAGGCATTTTTTAGTTTTCAGTTGATGGTGTTAATCAAATAGCAGTATCTTCCAAAATATATTTTCTGTTAAAGAAAGACAAATGTTGCAGCTAAAGGCATTGTTAAAATATTTATTATCTTCATTTAAAAAAAAAAAATATATTTTAGGATGGTGGTAGGCAGTATTAAATGTTTCTGGTGCCATGGTGTGATGAAGTACAGCATCAGAGCCTCATGTTAAAATCCCAGAGATTTCAAAATAATTTTGCTTAATACAACTGAGTTCCTATGATGATACTTTATTGTCATGTTTGACCATTAAGATTGATGTACAAACTAGCTGGAGATAGAATATTAATAGCATCATTATATAGAATAGACCCTCCATTTCCTGAAGGCTGAAGGTCGAGGACTTCTCCAAATAATTTTCCTTTTCCTCAGTGTTAGAGTGGTTCTGCTTCAGACTGCAACTGAAGTGTCAAAGTCAAATCAGTAAGCAGAAGCCCAGAGCCATGCCTAGTTAACTACCTTTGTAGTCAATAAAAGACCTCAAAACTGCATGCTTTGATCAATGATAATAAACTAGTATTGAAACATGAGAATTCAGACATATTTTAATACCAATGAAAGGCTACTGGTAGAAGACCTCAATATCGAGCATAAAGAAGAACTGGACATACTGAAACAAGATCATCGGATGGAAATTGGAAACATATTATCTGATTTCAGCAGCACTCAGGCACATCTCCAAGCAAAGATTTTCTCCTTAGAAACGAAGTCATTTAAATGAACTCTGGCTCATACTGGCAATGAGTTCTGTTTGAAATTATTATTCTTAGTATATATAATTTTTTGTTACTCATAGGTAGACTATTATAAGCACTGAAATAGAAATGTATAGGTATTTCCTTTGCAAACACAAAGAGACCCAGATATATGGTAATAAACTCTGAATATTGTTTAATGTTTAAATACATAAAGTTTTACAATGCTGAATTAAAACCTACACTTAGCATCTTGCAATTTTGTGAAGTGTAAAATCATCTTTGTCACAGATGATACCAGAGGCCTTGATCCATGATCTTGTACTTAATTTTGTTCAGCAGAGCAGCGTCTTTGCAGTTAAGCTCTTGCTTATTCTCACTCCCAGGACAGCCCCTGCTAACCCATGTAAATAAATGCACTTTGCAGCCCCCTGTGGAGTTAAGTAGTTCTGTGGTGCTTCAGACTGTACTGGAGAGGCCCCTCAGAAATAATCCCTGTGATTATATATATATCTCCCTCATCCTTTTCTCTTATCCCAACTGTGCGGCATAGGTCCAGAAGAGAGACCTACTTGATGTAAGCAGGTCTCAAACTATTCAGATGTTAAGATTTATCTTTTTATCTAAACTCTGAGATACACTAAGTTAAGAGTATAAAATTGGGGGGGAGTCCTCTCAAAAATGTTTACCCTCACCAAAAAAAACCCCACAAAATGGTGGTTTGTATTCTGTGATACATTTCTCAATATGGCAGGTGAACTTCATAGCACTTAGTTTCTCAAGCAGCAAAATTCATGAACTTGACTGATGAAATAATGACTTGTATTTCATGGGTCACTCAAATGTATCTTTCCACACCATCTCTAAGAAGGTCTATGTTCTCATTTGAATCTTTTCCCCTGATTAAGGCGTTTAAAGAGCTGAACTCACACTACAGGCTTTGACTTAGAGGGTTCACTAAAGCAGCATGTGTATCCAAGCCACTCTTCATGAAAGTCACAGGGATGGAGTATTTCTGAGACCTCTATCAAATATGGTTGGAATTAGCCTGTGGATTCTAAAGTTATTGGGTCAGAAAAGAGGAAAAAATAGGTGAATACTGACATGCATAGATATTGTGACACAGATTTTTTTCTCTAGGAAACTAGACTAGCAATATCTGATGTGTAAGCTTGTTAGTATTTTATACCAGGGGCTGGATTTTACATTGGACAGGTGTTGTGGGTTAACCCTGGTGGCAATTTATTTTGGAACTCCACAACATTCTATACTTATATGTAACACACGTACGGATGCCAGTTTTTAAAAAATGTTGTTTTATCAGAAAGGCCTGACTATGTCCCAGTATTTTAAGCTTGTAATTTAGAGCCGAGTGCAGCCCAAATATCCCTTGGACAAGGTCTGAGAAAGTTTTTTCCAGTCTGCATTTTCTTTGGTACAGACTTGAAGAATTAGAAGAAAAGTCAAGAAAGTGGGAGTCCAGATCAGAAGATACACACCTTATAAGCTGTCTGCAAGACAAATTAAGTGAGAGAGAAGACATTATCAAGCAGCTGGCAGTAAGATTTCCTTTGATATATACATAATATTTTGGAATCTGTTGGAAGGCTCTATTCAGTGTTTCACACATTGCTTCAGACTGATACTTTTCTTTCTGTTCTGGAATACTTTGACAAATAGATGTTTCCATACCAACTTCCAACAAATAGATGTTTCCATACACATAACTTTCTTTCTCCTTAGGAAGGAAGAAAATTTCAGCATTCGCTTTTAGCCAACACTGAATCTCATAGGAATCGATCATTTTCTTTCAACCGTAATACAGGATGCTTGACTCCTTCCATGAAGGTAAGAAAGATGGGCAAAGCAATTAAAATTGCAAATCATGATGTTTTATTGCTATTTGAATCATACAGATGATCAGGACAGTGATGGTGCTATTAATTCTTTTTGGTAATGTTATTCAGTAGAATTCTTTCCAGTAAGCCAGCCTACAATCAGGTGCTGAGTATAGCATAAATTCAGTAGAAGTATATCTGCACATACATACAGGTGTTTAAGCAAATATAAAACACTACAGCCCCAAAATGCTCAATCTTCCACTGGTATAAATGCAGCCATTGCTTGCAGATTTGGGAGTTGTTATTTGGGATATTGCATGCATCAAGCAAATTATGAATTGGGTTTGGGCTGCTCAGGATTTGACCTTTGTCATTCTAGCACCTCTGTATGATACTGTCTATAACTAGTCATGGAAAGAAGGGGGATCAAGTTGGTGGAAAGCACCTAACTGAGCTCCGAGTATACCTGCAAAGTTAGCGGCTTTGATGTATCTAAAACCTCAAGGTCAAATACACAAGTTGTTTTAATTGCATTACCTAATCCATGGCTCCTCACAGCATACCCTCAGAATTTATTTTAAATGACTATAGAAAAAGATGGGAATGTTGATTTTTGAGTGCTCCTTACAAGATATCTAGGAATGAGGTTATGTGGAGGTCTTATAGTATAAATTGTTAAAAAAAATGTGTGTATAATGAAGTTTTCTGTTATCATAAAAAGCAGCAGAAGAACACAGTTGAGGTGCCCAGTCGTGTTGTCAGTGTTCCGAATTTAGCTTCCTACGCAAAAAGCTTTTTGAGCTGTGACTTGAGATCAAAAAGAAGTGCTCCTCAAATAACAAAATCTACAAGCTTAGACCGGAGTCCTGGCTGCCTCAGGGTGGGCTCTCCATCAGCACAGTCCTCATACAGCAGTGCTGCCACAAGGTATTTGTCTGTTTGACATTGACTCCTAAGATGATAAATAAATTGGTATTCAGAATCTTGTAGGCAATTCAAACATATTAGACATTTGGAAATAAATAGTGACATAAGGGTTCTGTCATGCAGTGAACTCCGTTCAATTCTGTGCAGATGAACCCAGAACCTTACTGCAGAAGTAGGGTAGCATCACTGCCCAACAGAGCTTATGCTTGCAACCCCTCCTGGCACAAAAAAAAGAGAGGAGCTGCAAGCATTTAACTAAGAATGTCGTGAACATGGCTGTTTAAAAGTATCTGTGGCTCTGTTAAGGATGTGTTTTCCTTCTTACTTCTGTTTCCTCGCTTTGCACTCGGTAGATGTAGATGGCATATTTTTATTTTAGGAGATATTTGAATGAATCTAGGCTAATCGTTTGGCAAAGGGTTTAGATACTTCAAAATTGATTAGCAGATACTTAACTAAAAACTTCATAGTTTGATTTTTTTCTCTGAAAAGTTTGAATTTTTCGTCACATTTATGAGTTATTATTTAAACAATATTTAGTGTTTTATAAACATGACTGAATTATCTCTTAAAGAAATAGTTAAAAATGTATGTAGTTAACATTATACAGAGTTATAATGATAAATATAAAAAACACCCCCAACCTCTACCACTATACTTCAGGACAAAAGCCAGCCTTCGCACCTGTCTCCTAGCAGAGATTAGTTATCCTCTGAATTGTGTGCTGGGGAGTTCTCTCCTTTAAGGCAGATGGTGCTGACTGCTGCCAAAGACAATAACTTGGGACACGGGCTTGGATCCAGTTTGGCAATTCCTACATCTTAAAGATAAAAGCATTCTGTGTCATGTCAGATGACTGCCAAGGCACATCAGATTTGGATTTTTAAAGGGAAATGTACAGGGAGACTGAGGGTAGCCTGGCTGATGCTTATTTGCTCTTTCAAATCAGTTGTTAAGTGAAGTCATATTTGCTACTGTAAGCTAACCAAAATTAACATAGATGTTAAAAAAGCATCCTGAATACTGAAAATTCAGGGACTATGTAATAGGATTGGTTATAAAAGCCAGTTAATATTCAGATAAATCTTTCAGTTCCAAACAAAGCTTTTACCCAACATTTTTAATGCATAAATTGTATTTCATATTTTTAAGAGTGAGTTGCAGCTGCCATTTTCTGACTCTTCAAGACTTCATTATTCTTGAAACATCTTTTTTTTTATTTTTTGAGATGTCAAGTCAAGAATTACGTTCAAACATTTCTCCATAGCTGTTCAGCTCTCTTTCATGCTTTCCTTTGTTACTGCCAGTGCTGTTAGCCCAGCTACCGGGCTAGCACAGATTGCACTGGAAATAGCAGCTGCCATCTTTCAGCCTCATCCAGTTCATGTGAGCACAGATCCATTCACAGGATCATGAGTTTTTCCAGGAAAAAAAGTATTAAATATTGATAAGATTGTAAGTGATGCTAATGCTTATTTTTTTGCACAGGACACATGGCAATGAACCACAACAAACCAAAGATGACCAAAAACAAGACTCTCGGCATCAAGAATGGTTTACTAAGTATTTTTCATTTTAAAGAGAAGTATTTCCATTCTTCTCAGAATTACTAGAAAAGCTGTTCCCATTTTCTTTTAGGGAATGATAATCCAATATATGATTTAGGAAAAAAAAGGATGTAATTTCCAAGTAAATAATTAGGAACAAGTGTACTCTTTTACATCAAATTACTGTGCAGTTACAGGCATGGATTTCAGAAAAATGCATTTTTTTTTAACAACCGCTGTAAAAAAATGAAGAAAAAGCAAAATTCTACGTACTGTTACGTGAAGAGACTTTTTAATCAAGATGCTGTACCACTCCATAATTACATTAAAGATGCAATTTGGTCTCTGATACATCCTTGTCAATCTGACTCCAGCTGAAAAAAACATCTGTAGGTGATTTCAGTAGGTTTATACATTTGCTTCATCAGCTGTTTAAAATAATTTCTGCATGTAGTAATTAATTTTTTAAGTTTTTAATAGATTTTTGTTAAACTTATTTTAAGCTATACAGCATGCAGTATACCTCCATGAACAGCATGTTTATAGCAGGCTGATTTAGGAAGGCTTTCTGGTTTACTTAACTGTTTTGTATAGTCAGCATTACAATGTACCATTCCTGTTGCACTTTAATACATGTAACAATCAGCCTGATAAATTAGGATAATATGTAAGTATGAACATTAAAACTTGCTTGTAAATCATCCATTCCCATGTTTGGCAAAATAGTGCTATGTTATGCTGAAGTGCGAGTCAGACTGATACACTGAGTTCCAGATTTATGGGAACTGCCTACTTGTACATTTTATCTCAATATTGTTCTTATGCCCACCAAAATGCAAAGTAGGCAAACAACTACATTTATCAGATCATGCTAGCTATCTCATTACTGGGAGGGAGGGCACCCACGAGGAAACTAACCCTCAGGTAATTCATCAACAAACGTGAAAAGCAGGGAATTGTGCAACCAGCAGCTAGTGTTTTAGGGTAGTTCATGTTCAACTGCCCCAAAAACTTTTAAAGTGCACTAGAAAGTTCAGTACACAATTGCTAATTCTAATTTCCAGGGTTACAATATTCTAATTAACCTTGTCCCCCAAATGGTGTCCCTAGAAAAGTGACTTTCCTGGCTACATATTAAGCTTGTTGCCTAGTAATAGAGACAGGAGTCCTTTGCTAGTTCAACCTCAGAAATCTTTTTCTGGCTACATTTAGATTACTAAATAGCACACCCCAGCAGAAGCCAATTCTTTCAACTGGACAGTGCTGGTAACCCAACATCCATTTTAGGGTAGGTGTTCTGGACCATCCCCACCCTAGCCTGACAGATGGAACACCAGTAACAGTGTAACCCGCTCCCTCAGGGGTATGCATTTTGCAGTTTCATTTCATCTTATAAGAATCAAATTTGTATATCCCGAGATCCTTTCATGAGGTGAGCAAAAGCCCAGCGGAGATAGACAATTCACTTCAAAAAAAGTACATTCTTGATCTGACCTCGATACAAACAATTCTAAAGGTGCTTCTACACTGCTACTTATGGATAATTAGTGCAACACAGAACGTTTAAATCTTCCAGTAAAATCAAACAGTAATCTTTGCAAGTATTTTCATCATACCAGCAGAGATATAGTTAGGGGAAAGCTATGGCTACCCTATCTAGGAGGAACAGGATGCATTCTAGAAAACACACTTCTACCAGAAGGCATCCTGAATAGCAACTCTGCATATTTTCCATTAAAATATAAAACCAATCCATGTTTTTGAAAAAAAAAAAATATTTCGCTTGTTTATTTATATTTGTAGTACAAATTACATTATACAAAAAGTATACTTTTACAAAGTAAAAAGAACACCGCTGCTTTGCATTGTTGAAAATATTCAGATATGTAAAATCAAAGATCACGTTTGCTTCATTGGAGCAGGAATATTAGCAGATGCTTGTTCTAGGTAAGCTAGTGGACCCTGAGGCATTTCTGCAGGCTTTTTGTGCTGCACACTGATATCCTCCAGGACCTGTTGCCAGTGTCGCAGTTTACTCAAATGCTTCTGAATTAATGCTTCTTTTCTCTGCAACTCATTTCTTAATTCTGAAACATCCTATGGATGAGAAAAATGTGTATTAATAAACTAGACAGTATTCATAGGAATAACCACCTCACATAAAGAACATGCAATTTTTTTAGCTTGAGTTTTCAAGCTGATCTTGCAGGGATTCTAATAATGGAAAAGGATCTGATGAAAGACAGGGGAAGCACTGTGAATGCACTAGGTCCGATCCCCTAGGTCATACATATTTCAGAGATCATTACTTCCAGCAACATTTGACTAACTAGTTTGTTTCTTCCAATGAAACTATCATCTGTGTTCCAATACTCCACAGAGCAGCAGGCAACCAGCTTCTCCAGGTTCATGGTGAGAGCAAGCTATTTTAACAGTCAAGTTCTACGAACATAAGATACAATATCGTGTTGAGAAACCCAAAATTACCGTGAATGAGGTGATTAACTGTACTGGTGCACAGCTTACCTGACCTAGCACACCACAGATAAATTAATTGAAACATACCTCTTTAATTACTTGCTCTGGTTTCTGGACCGATAGCTGCAGTCTTTTTTGTAGGAAAAAGCATTCAGTTTGTCTTGCAACATCCAGAAACTTCTGGATGCACTGATCAACACCTAAACATAAAATAACAAAATAGAAAGAACAGATTCCAAAAAATAAGTTATCAGGCTGACACTGAGAGATGTCTGCAGGCTATTAAAAACACTTTTCACAGTATTTTCTGGAAAGAAAACCTTCAGATTTACTACGACATATTTATAAAACCAGGATGTGCATTAAGTCTGCGTATAAAACGTTGCTTTGCAAACTTTCAGAAGTTCTTTTAAAGGTGCAAGACAACTCTTTTTCCCAAGTTTTACTACATTTTTGACAAAGATACAATAATTTGTGGAACTTGGCTGAATAAAGAAAACATTTCACTGCACACCCAAACAAGCAGCTCAATGTAAGGTTCTAAAACATAGGTGTATTTAGGAGAACATTATGCCTTTATATATTATGCACTACTATTTTGATAATAAAAGCTGTCCCATTCCAGCATATGAATACAACCCAATATCCAGAAAGGACTTTTCAAAAGCATTTACGCTGTTTGCGAAATGGTGCTTGAGAGTCAAGCTTCAAAATTTTTTCAGGGAAAAGTACACTGCTAAACAGTAGTCAAGGGCCATTTCTTAGCCTCCTATTTATAGCAGTTCAGTATTACATATATAGCATTATATATAGCAGTTCAGGCACCCACAGAGGTGCCTGTCAGGCCATAAAGCATCGCTACTAAGCGATCTAGGCTTTCCTTTCCCACCTTTTATTATTGCTTCATATAGCTCCATAATGCATCACATTTGCTTCCTAGCTTTTGAACCATGTGTTTCATTGCACATCAATATAATCCCACACAACTCCAGATCCTTCCACAGGACCCCGATCATTCCCGGCTGGGTTTCTTTCCGTGTGAGCTGCCTTCCACCTGGGAAGGGGCGAGCAACCCCGAGCTATGCCAGAGTCACTGTTCAAAGACCCTGACATAGTTTTTAAACCTCTTTTGGCCTCAAATGACGAGGCACACATACGCCCGGCGAAGCCCAAATGCATCTGCAAAACTCCACAAGAAGTTTTAGGGGAGGCTGCCCGTAGATTTGCAACCCCAGCCGCACCCCTCAGTATTTCAGGCCTGAAGAATAAAACCGCGGTTTTTGTAAAGCCCAGCCGAGCTGCAGCATCTCGGCAGCGCCCGAAAGCCG